ATGGTCAGCCCTGGACCAGGCCAAAGCCAGGAGCTCCAAACTCAAAGCAAGTCTGCCACATGGGTGGCAAGGATCCAAGTACTTAAGCCATCTCCTGCTGCCTCCCAAAGTGTACATTAATAGGAAGCTGGAATTGGTTGCAGGTCTGTGACCCAAACCACGAGAACTCCAATGTGGGATGCAGGCATCTCAAGTAGCATCTTCAGCAGTGCACCAAACACCACCCTGAAGACCCCCAGTTTGCGCTGTGGCTGAGCAATGCATAGTGATCAGCAAGAGACAAGGGAAAGGATGAATAACGGGAAAAGTGGAAAACTTGCGACCACAGAATCAGCCTCGATGTCAGATGCCTATTAACCTAAAATGAATTCCAGAGTCAGCTGGGAATATGAGAACTTTAAGATGAAGCATGCTGTGAACATGTTGCTCCTGAAATTTTTTAAAAAGGTTTATTCATTCATTTGAAAGGAGAGGCAGGGGGGGGGGGGGTCTTCCATCCAGTGATTCACTCCCCATTTGGCTGCAACGGCCGAAGCTGCGCCGATCTGAAGCCAGGAGCCAGGGGCTTCTTCTGGGTCTCCCACCTAGGTGCAGAGGCCCAAGGACTTGGGCCATCCTCCACTGCCTTCCTGGGCCACAGCAGAGAGCTGGATCGGAAGTGAAGCAGCCAGGTCTCCAACCAGCACCCATACCCATATGGGATGTCGGTGCTTTAGGCCAGGGTGTTAACCTGCTGCGTGCCAGCCCCAAGCTACTAAAATTTTGGTCACCAGTCATCTTTGGAGTAGATGTTCACAGCACCAAGGCCAGGGCATGTCTGTTCAGTATCAGAGTGGCTGGCAGGACCACGAGTTAGCCAGGTAGATGTGTTCAGGGCTCTGTGCCACTCCTACACAAGTTGCTGACTCACATTCCTTTTGCTACAATGTGTCTCAGTACTAGGTTCAAATTCTTCTTAGTTCACTTAAATCTTACATCTCTGAAAAAAATTTGGAAAACCCTAAATTATTTTTTATTGTGTATTGGTTTCAGAGGATTTTTGTTTCATTGAAAGCATTCAAATTGTGATCCTGGAGTGGTTTGTGATAGTGCCAACAGCTATGTATGAGCCATGACTTCTTGCTAGGTTGTGGTGGGTTTTTTTGGGTTTTTGTGGTTTTTTTTTTTTTTTTTTTTTTTTTTGACAGGCAGAGTGGAGAGTGAAAGAGAGAGACAGAGAGAAAGGTCTTCCTTTGCCGTTGGTTCACCCCTCAGTGGCCGCAGCGGCCGGGAGCCAGGTGCTTCCTCCTGGTCTCCCATGCCAGTGCAGGGCCCAAGGACTTGGGCCATCCTCCATTGCATTCCCGGGCCACAGCAGAGAGCTGGCCTGGAAGAGGGGCAACCAGGACAGAATCTGGCGCCCCAACTGGGACTAGAATCCAGGGTGCTGGCGCCACAGGCGGAGGATTAGCCTATTGAGCTGGGACGTTGCTAGTTTTTTATTATGGAAATAAGAAAAACAGAATGTAGGCTGCTATGGATAAATTTTTAAAGGCTTGTAAATAAGCAAGAAGAGTCAGGACCAACGTTGCAAATGTTACCTTTCCCTGGCGGAAGTAACCTGCCCATGTTAATCACCTCTATGACGTCATCTCATGGTCTCAAGACCTAACATGTTGGTGTGGTGAAGGGCTCCTGTTCTAAGCAGAGGTGGCAGGAGTTTCAGTCTTAACTCTGCAAAGCACAAGTTTGCCTGATAACAAATGCTAATTCAGTGGTTGTCTCTAATATGTTAAGATTCAGCCTTAACAGTAGGTTAAACCATGGCCTCTGGCACCAGCTTCCCATATGGGTGCTGGTTCATGTCCTGGCTGTTCTCTGCTGATGTACCTGCGAAAGCAGTGGAGTATGGCCCAAGGTCTCCCTTGGGCCCCTGCACCCATGTGGGAGAACAAGACGAGGCTTCTAGCTCGTGACTTCAGTCTGGCCCAGCCCCAGTTGTTGTGACCATTTAGGGAGTGAACCAGCAGATGGAAGAGCTCTCTCTTCTCTCTCTGTCTCTCCTTCTCACTCTGTAGCCCTGCCTTTCAAACAAATAGGTAAATCTTTAAAAAAAAAAAAAAAAAAAAAGATTTGGCATATAACACATTTGAGAAAATGTGGGTGTTTTTTTTTTTTTTTTGAAGATTTATGTATTTGAAAGAGTTACACAGAGAGAGAAGGAGAGGCAGAAAGAGAGAAAGAGGTCTTCCATCCGCTGGTTCACTCCCCAGTTGGCTGCAGTGGCTGGAGCTGCACTGATCTGAAACCAGGAGCTAGGATTTTCCTCTGGGTCTTCCCCAGCAGGTACAGGGTACCAAGGCCTTGGACCATCTTGTACTGCTTTCCCAGGCCACAGCAGAGAACTGGATCAGAAGTGGAGCAGCCAGGACTTGAACTGATGACCATATGGGATGCTGGCACTGCTGGTGCCAGCTTTACCCATAGGCCACAGTGCTGGCCCAAGTGTGTTCATTTTAAATTGTGTTTTGTTGCCAACTAAAAGTTTTGAAATAAAATTTGACCTCACAAAGGGTATATTCATTACCTCATCTTTCCTTCCTTGTCCTTATCCCTAGTGTGGGTGGGAGTAGGGATGAAGGCCTTTTGACATAATACAGCATAAGCAAAATTATGCCAAGGGAAGTGAAAAATGACTGACCCCCCCCCCACACACACACACATTGTTTGCAGATTGTGCAGGAGGAAATAAATCATTACAGTAGGGTCACCTGACAGTCACCACATCAACCAAGTTCAAGCACGGCATCACCAGGACTTGGACTTTTGTGCCTCCTAGACTGATAAAGTGTGCAGTATTGCACACGGTGTATTCTTGCCAACATGTTTAACCTGAATCTAAGCAAGCTTCTGCAGACCCAACTTGCAGATTATAAGTGAAACATGGACAAGTTAAATGACGCAGTAAGTCCTGTAAGACAAATTTAAGAAGAGACATTTTAGAAGACAGCTGTCCTGGTCTCCTCCAAAAGAAGTTAGTGGCTTTTATTTCCATTTCATGAAAAGTGGGGAGGGACTGGTTTAAATTTAAAAGGTTGAAAAGAGGCCGACGCCGCGGCTCACTAGGCTAATCCTCCGCCTTGCGGCGCTGGCACACCGGGTTCTAGTCCCGGTTGGGGCGCCGGATTCTGTCCCGGTTGCCCCTCTTCCAGGCCAGCTCTCTGCTGTGGCCAGGGATTGCAGTGGAGGATGGCCCAGGTGCTTGGGCCCTGCACCCCATGGGAGACCAGGAAAAGCACCTGGCTCCTGGCTCCTGCCATCGGATCAGCGCGGTGCGCCGGCCGCAGCGCGCCGGCCACGGCGGCCATTGGAGGGTGAACCAACGGCAAGGGAAGACCTTTTTCTCTGTCTCTCTCTCTCACTGTCCACTCTGCCTGTCCAAAAAAAAAAGGCTGAAAAGAGACATAAAAGTCAGATGCAATAGGTGAACCTGGATGAGTTCTGTTCTGGGGAAGTTATGAAAGGTATTCTTGGGACAATGGAGGAATGTGATTGTGGGCGGTATGTTAGACAATACAGCGTTATTGTCAGTTTTTAAGGTTTGATAGTGAGGCCAGTGCTGTAGCTAAACAGGTTGAAGCCCTGGCCTGCAGCACCAACATCCTTTATAGGCAGCAGTTCAGTTCCCAGATGCTCCACTTATGATCCAGCTCCCTGCTAATGCGCTTGGGAAAGCAGCAGAGGATGACCCAAGTCCTTGGGCTCCTGCACCCACATGGGAGACCCAGAAGAAGCTCCTGGCTTTGGATTGGCTCAGCTCTGGCCATTGCAACCATTTTGGGGATGAACCAGCAGATGGAAGACCTCTCTCTCTGTCTCTACCTCTCTCTACAACTCCTTAAAATAAATAAAACAAATCTTTAAATAAAGTTTGATAGTATTACATGTAAGGTCCTGGGGATACAGAATGGTGTGTACCACAGCACACAGGGTGAAGCCATTATGGTGTCCACACCTGTGTGGTATAGACGAAATGTGCTAATTGTCCTGTCCTTTCAACTTTTCTGTATGTTGGAATTTTTCAAAATGTTTCAAAAAATTTTTATACCAAAACTAACTTATGTTTTAATTCTACTTTTCCATGAACTTTTTAAAGAACTGTTTTTGAATTAGTTGGAGAGGGGCTGGCTTGTCATCCCCCCCAGTGAGAGAGAGAGACAGAGAGAGAAAGGTCTTCCTTTTGCCGTTGGTTCACCCTCCAATGGCCGCCGCTGCAGCCGGCGCACCGCGCTGATCCTGGCAGGAGCCAGGAGCCAGGTGCTTTTCCTGGTCTCCCATGGGGTGCAGGGCCCAAGCACCTGGGCCATCCTCCACTGCACTCCCTGGCCACAGCAGAGAGCTGGCCTGGAAGAGGGGCAACCGGGACAGAATCCGGCGCCCCAACCGGGACTAGAACCCGGTGTGCCGGCGCCGCAAGGTGGAGGATTAGCCTATTGAGCCACGGCGCCGGCTTTAAAGAACTTTTCTATGAACATTTTTTTTTGACAGGCAGAGTGGACAGTGAGAGAGAGAGACAGAGAGAAAGGTCTTCCTTTGCCATTGGTTCACCCTCCAATGGCCGCCGCGGCTGGCGCACCGCGCTGATCCGATGGCAGGAGCCAGGTACTTATCCTGGTCTCCCATGGGGTGCAGGGCCCAAGCACTTGGGCCATCCTCCACTGCACTCCCTGGCCACAGCAGAGAGCTGGCCTGGAAGAGGGGCAACCGGGACAGAATCCGACGCCCCGACCAGGACTAGAACCCAGTGTGCCGGCGCCGCAAGGCGGAGGATTAGCCTAGTGAGCCGTGGCACCAGCCTCTATGAACATTTTTAAATGGTTCAGTGTGTATGTACATCTATCTAAGTGAATATATATAAGTGTGTGTATATATATATATATATTCTTTAAGAAGCAAAAGTTATAGAAGCACTAAATAGTTTATAAAGAATGAAATTAATCTTCCCCTCTCTTTTGTTTTAGGCTCAAGAAAAAGGAAGATTAAACTATACTAAGGTATGTAGATTTTATACATACTATACAGTTTTATACATTTAAATCTGTTGTTTGCTTTTCATTTATATTTGAAAGATCCAAAGAGAATCTTCTCATCTAACGCGAAGTGGTATTTCCTGTTAAGTGAAAGGCATTAGCAGGGAGAGTAAGGTTCACTGAATATTTAACGTCCTTACTAAGTGCCTGTTCCATTCCAGATACTGTATTAGGAATACAACAGTGATCCAGAGGAAGTCTTTCACACTATTTATAATGTAGTAGGGGAAATGGATAACTAGTAAACAGCTAAATAGATCCATAATTTATATTATACATGTTACTTGTTACATAATACATAATGTAATATCAGAAGGTTGTAAGTGCTTTGAAGAAAACTAAACAAGATCACTAAGCATTGTTGAAAGATGCCCATTGCCCATGCCTAGAAGAGAACTTTTAGCTCATTCAGTTAATGCCTGCGATGCACTGCCCAGGACAGACTGAAACTCTAAAGGGAAGCGTTCTCATATCACCTGCACAGCTTTGGAAAACACAAGTACCTAGGGCCTACTGCATCAGAGAACAGGGTGGGGCCAAGCTGGAGTGATTTGAAAAAGTCTCCCCAGATCATTGTGACACACAGTCCTGGTTTTAAAAAATAAAAACCACTACAGGAGTTGAGATCTCGCACAGTTGGGTCACATTCTGTTTTCCCCTCAGGGGCAAGAGGGATATGTAGCAGGTGCATGGCATGCATACAGCTGCCTGGCTACAGGAGCTCGCCAACCAGCTGATTTATGTAGCAATCAGAAAAATTCAGGGGGGGGCAGCACACCTGCACTCCAAAGACAGGCAGGAAGAAATATGACCCAGAAAGGCTCTGCCTGCAGCAGGATGGCAAAAATCCACAAAGACCTCCCTGTCCAGGACCTAGCTTATCACACATTCAAGCACACTCCTGGTGACCCACAGCTGCACCTCCATGGCTCTGACTCCTCTCCTTGCTCGAAACGCAGTGCCTCCTTCTATTTGCCTCACGATCTTATGCCTCTTTCAAGAGCCACTAGGCAACAGAGACACCTCTAAGCCCAGAGGTCCCAAATCTGTCTCTTCCTTGGATATCTGCCGAGGCTCATCACACACCCAAGCACAAGCTCTGGACCTGTCTTAGAGCTTCCCACAGGCGTACAAGCCCAGTATGTCTTAAACACAACCCAGCACCCTCCTGGCATCTCTCGTTGTTTTCCGATTGCCTTATCTTTTAGAGCAGTTTTGGGTTCACTGTATAAGTTGGGAGTCATCACACACACACAGCCACCCCCATTACCAGTATCCTGCACCAGAGCAGTACCTTTGTCTGTAGCAACCCCTGAGCCAGCACTGATATGTCCTCCTCACTTGGCATCCGTGGTTTGTGTTAGGGTTCATCTTGGCATTGTAGCTTGGTCCTTTTTACCTGTTCTCTGTCCTGTTGCTGCCACTGTCAGCCTGACAGTCAACCCTATGAGGAACTCACCACACGAAAAACTGCACCTACTCCCTCCCTCTGTGTGCCTTGGGCAAGCCACATCTGTTTTATATCCTCCATGTTCCTGAGTGCCCCTCCTCTTGACCTCTCTCCCGTTGTTCACGTTCACGGTCTTTGCATCTGAACCGCTGAAAAGATGACTGCTGCCTGGGCTCCCTGCCTGTTTCCTCCCCGCAGCCCCATTACCAGCCAGAGTGTCCACCAACACCACAGATCTGACAGTTTCACTCTCCAGCTCAACAGCCCGCATGGGCTCCCTGTTGTCTGTATGGTACATGCAGGACTTGCTTGGGTTGGCATCCATGGAGCAGTGATCACGCCCCCTACAGGGTTGCCCCTGCTTCATCACCTATTCCAGCTGCACCAAAGACCACGACATGGACCGTTTCCATCCCCTGTGCCTCTGCTCTGCTGTCCCCTCTGGAATGCCCTTCCCCCTCTGCTCATCCTAAAAGGTTTAATTTAGCCACGTCTTCTATAGGAAGTCCTCTGTGACTCCCCAGGCTGGGTTAGATGCTTTCAGTTCCTTACTCCTATATTATAATGATCTGTTTATAGAGAGAGCATAAACTGTGAGCTCTTCCAGGGCAGGGGCGGTGTCCATTTTATTCCTATACCTGATGCCTCACATAGTACTTGGCACTGGGGAAAATGTTGAGTAAGTGAGCGAGTAAGTGGAGGCTATAAGAAAATAGAAGATGCCTGAAGTAAATTGGAAACATGTAAATTGCAGCAGAAAATCTGGTATCAAGCTTTTGATCTGGGTGAAGGAAGATAAGGAAAGCTTTGACCCAGGGTGCAGCCCTCAGCAGGACTAAGAAGGCTGCTTAGGAAGGTTGTAATGAACCAGTGTGAAGGTGAAGGCTGGGATCTCTGCCGGGGTGGAAACAGGCTCACCTATGTGTGAAGAGGCTGGTGGGGAAAGAGTGACTGCTGAGCGCTGATGTTCTTTAGGCTTCAAAGAATACCTCTGGGGTTTCTTATTGCAGAAGCACTTGACAATGGAAGAGATTTCCATTGGAAAGGGCACAGATAAGAGCACCCCAGACCAAGCATGGGTCTGCCACCAGCTCACTGCAAAATCTGACCCTCAGTTACTTCGTCTCTTTGGCCTTCCCTTACTTTCCTCAGTACAAAGTGAGCAGTTGAGAATAGCCCTGTTCCACTTGCTAAGGTCCATTCCAAATTTAGGAAGAGACATTTGCCTTTTGTTTTTTAAGGTTTATTTTATTTTCATCTCCTTGAAAGTCAGAACAGCTTCCACTGGTTTACTCCCTAACCAAGGCTGGGTCAGGCCATCTGGCTCTGCCACGTGGGTGGTAGAGACCCAAGTACTTGGGCCGTCATCTGCTGCCTTCCGGGTGCATTAGCAGGAAGCTGGATGGGAAGTCCTGGAGCAGGGACTCAAATTGGCCCTCCAATAGGGGTTGCGGGAGTCAGGAGTGGCAGCTTCATCTCCTGCACTGACTCTGCTACACAGTCCCAGTCCCTAGGAGGAGACACTCTTATCCTGCATACTGCTGAGGCCCAGACTCAGCCTTCATCCACCCAGCCAATGTTAATTTGCCCTTGACCGTGTCCGAAGCACCATGCCCATGCCAGGATGGGCATCGGGAACAAGGCTCAGGCCTTGCTGTGTCCGGTAGCCACTCCCCTGCCCTCTTCTGCTTTCCCTCTGAACATTTTTCATGGTCTGAAATTATCAGAGCTTGTTTACTTCTTTCTGCTTCCACTGGGACGTAGAATCTAAGAGCAGGAGCCTCGGCAGCCTCATTCATGGCTGCTTCACCCTCCTGGACACAGGCGCACATGAAGGAGCAGCTGACACATGTGCAGACGCGAGTGTTGCAGGAGGATGTGAGCGGTCTGGGATCCAGGACTGCAGACTCCATTGGCCATTGTGAGAGTATGTTGACCATGTAAGAGTGGTACAGCCCACCCCCATGTGGCCTAGGGCTACCTTCAAGTGCCAGTGACAACACTGCCCATACCAGAAAACAGAAACCCACCCTCAACCCTTGAACTTGTAGGGCTATTCTGATAAAGCCCCCTGGTCTAGGCTGACTGAAGTAATCAGTTAAGACCTTGTCATTCTTTTTTTTTTTTCTTTTTTCTTTTTTTTTTTTCTTTTTTCTTTTTTTTTTTTTTTTGAAAGTCAGAGTTACACAGAGAGGGGAGAGGCAGAGAGAGAGAGAGAGACAGGTCTTCTGTGTGCTGGTTTACTCACCACCAGTTGACTGCAACGACCAGAGCTGCTCCGATCCGAAGCCAGGAGCCAGGAGCTTCCTCTGGGTCTCCTTTGCTGGGTGCAGGGGCTCAAGGACTTGGGCCATCTTCTACTGTTTTCCCAAGCTATAGCAGAGAGCTGAATCAGAAGTGGAGCAACCAGGTCTCGAACCGGCGCCCATATGAGATGCCGGCACTGCAGGCGGCAGTTCTACTCATTACACCACAGTGCTGTTGTAACGGGTAAACCTTGTCATTCTTAACACAGGCTTACCCCCAAGTAACATGGTGGGGAAGATGCAACCTTCCCGTACTGAGTACCATGGAGATGTCTGCAGGGTGCAGCTCTCAGTGCTGTGTCTCACACAGGGTGTTCCAGGCCTTCAGTAAGACATCCAGACCCGGGGCCTCCCCACCTCTGTCTGTGCAGTCTCACTGCTCATGACACTCACTGTAACCAATGCAGGCTTCATGCTTGGTGACCTGGCTTCCGCTGGGGATGGGGGAGTGATTGGTAAAATGCTATTTCAAAAACTCAGGGGCTATCAGGAAGCTCTTGGGAGTTATGAAATTATTATGAAATGTATCTGTTGCTGAACATCTCATTATTTCCAAGCAATGAATATTTACTCAAAAGCCACATTTTGTCTGAAAAAAAATCAGATTGCAAGAAACCACAGAACATTATGTTGGTCACGCACTCTGTGGCTTTATTTGCCACCAGGCACATTTTGTCAGCCTCAGCTGCGGGGAAGCAGGGGAGAGCATGGAAGAAGCGATCATTTCAAACCCTGTCCCAGCTGGATCTCTGGGGTGTTTGTCACGTTCAGCCAAACAGTGGTCTGGTCCTCAAACACTCAGATAAGAAATTGAGTTACCTTTTAATTGAGTTCCTGTTGAGATGGACCCTGGATGTGAATGCTTCCCGCTTCAGTAGTGCCTTTCACCGTAAGATAGCAAAGCACTTGACAACTTTTCATTCATTCGGTCTCCCTGCCCTGAAGGTGGTTAAACCCCCGCACCAGAGTCCCTGCTCCCACTACCGAAGCTCACCCCTGGGAGGTGGGCAGAGATGGAAGCTGATTCTCCCTTAGGCACGCCCCAGCTGGGGAAACCAGGAACGTCGTCCTGACCTGGGTGAACCTGTGCGGATCTTGGGAGATGGAAAGTAATTACCGCAGTGAACAAGACTGAGGTTAATAGCTGTGCGCATGTGCACAGTGCTTTAATTACAGTGATGGTCTGCAGCCCTGGGTGTGTGTGCGCC